CTCGTGCATCCGTTAGGGACTGCTTGCTGCGCGTGGGAAATGCTGTTAGCCGCGGACCGCACACATGTCGATATTTCCATCCCCCCTAAACCCGCAAACACAACACCCGAATACACACATACACACACAAAATGCATGCGTCTGTTTTCTGCGCTCTGTTATCCCACTTCGCTGTTTCCTCACTGTTCCCCACCTCCGAACGCATTTCTACACTTCGCCCGTATGCAGCGGCGCTCTATGAGCCTTAGGGACAGTCGCCCCGGCGTCAACTCCCACCTCCGGTCCCTCCTGAGTGAAGGGCATAATATCACGTCACGAAATTGTATAATATATTGGTCGATTAATACTTGCACGCGTGCCTCTCTGGTTCCGAACTACCAAGCCGCCGTCGTTGGACAAAGTGAGACAGAGCAACCATGCTTTTTAGGCTCAATACCGTGCTTTTCATGTTGCGTCTCTCTCCCGTCGGATAGTGTGTGCGGGTCGGGGTGACGGCGTTGGTCCCGGCGCTGCGGCTTCCATGAAAGCTACAACACGGCTCCTCTAACAATTTCCTGCGGGGTGCCGTGTGCCGAACCGAGTCGCTGCCAAAGGGTCTGATCACTTCACGGTCCACGGTTGGATGGGCTGACGTATAACGAGGGACAGACAGACAGACAGACAGTCAGTCAGTCAGAGACTACCACCCAACTCACTGGGCACCTACGTGCGTGCAACGCACTGCATTAGTAAACTTTCCAATCCACGACATCCTGAATGGTCTGTCTTTTGAGAGTTTGCCCAGTAAGCTTCGTCCCTTGAATAAGACGTTACACCACATACGTGATGATTCGATGAATTTGCAGACATATGTTGATGTAAAGATGAACGGTATACTAAAACAACTGACACCACTTTGGTAAAACAGTCGGATACAAAACGAATGCACGAAATCCTACATAAAACATGATTTTCCCAACATTTCCCATCAATTTTATCCCCACGTCGACGTTTTCCGATTCAGTTCCTCATTTTCAAGCCAACCACCTCCATGAACAGAGGACCAGTAATGTGTCCTCAAGGAGGGGCAAACGTTGTCATTATCGTCGGCTCACTAACTCTCTGGTCTGGTCCCATGCGCCACCCCGACATTTTGATAAATGACGAGAGAGAGAGGGAGAGAGAGAGAGAG